ACCCACTTCATTTACCCTCCCCTTCCCACTGGTGCTTTTCCCTTAACATGACCTGCTCTTAATTGTTTAGGTATCTGTTATTGTTCAGTGGGAATTTTGCCTTAGTATTTTGCCCATAAATATATTGTACTTAAGTCAGTCTGGTCCCCCCTCTACTACTCTTTCTCATCTGTTTCTCCTATCCTCTGATGTTTAACAGCTTTCAGTGTGCTTCCTAGTGTCTTGTTCCTATACATATGTGATATGTATCTCATTATTATTCACTTTCTATCATTCTTTCTTTCTTTTCCTCCACCCATAGCCCCTTCTAACAGTCCCACTTTTGGAAACATGTTCTGTATATATTTATACATATATATGATGATGCTGTATTTGTATTGGATTTATCTTCCATATATGAGAGAGAACATGCAATCTTTGTCTTTCTGAACTTGGCTAACTGCAAATGATGCTCTCCAGTTCCATCCATTTACCTGCAAATGACAATTTTTGTTCTTTATGGCTGCATAAAATTCCATTGTATATAAATACCACATTTTCTTAATCCATTTATCAGTTGTAAAGCATCTTGGCTGTTTCCATAGCTTGCTTATTGTGAGTAATGCTGCAATAAACATGGATGTGCAAGTGTCTTTATTGCAATCTGGCTTACATTCTTTTGGGTATATGCTTAGGAGTGGTATTGCTAGAGCAAAAGTATTTTTAGTTTTTTGGGGAGTCCCCATACTGTTTTCCATAGTGGTAGTACTAATTTACATTTCCACTAACAGTGTAGGAGGATTCCTGTTTCTCCACATCCTTGCCAACATTTGTTGTTGTTTGTTCTTGATGATAGTCTTTCTAACAGGAATGAAGTGGAATATTAATGTGGTTTTTGACTTGTATTTCCTTTATGGAAAGGGATGTTGAGCATTTCTTCATGAGTTTTTGGCCATTTGTACTTCTTCCTTTGAAAAATTTCAGTTTAGTTCATTCGTCCATTTTTTGATTGGGTTATTGATTCTTTAGGAGTTTAGTTTTTAGGATTTTTTTTTTGAGCTGCCTATAAATTTCGATTATTAATCCCTTGTCAGATGTGTAGCTGGCAAAGATTTTCTACCATTCTATGGACTGCCTGTTAAGTCTGGTGACATTTCCTTTGCTGTGCAGAAGCTTTTTAGTTTCACATAGTCCCATTTGTCAATCCTTTCTCTGAGTCACTGAGCCACTGGAATTCTAATTAGGAAGTTATTGCCTATATATTCCAGTGTACTCTTTTCTGCACTAGTTTCAAAATTTCAGTTCCTATATTAAGGTCCTCAACCCACTCTTAGTTAATACTTGTACAGGGTGAAAGACGTGAAGCTAGTTTCAGTTTTCTACATGCAGATATCCAGTTTTCCCAGCAACATTTGTTGAAGAGGCTCTCTTTGTTTTGGGTGACTTTGTCAAAAATCAGGTGGGCATAGCTGCATGAATTCATATCTGGGTCTTCTATGCTGGTTCATTGGTCTTTGTGTTTGTTTTTGTGCCAGTACCATACTGTTTTTATTGCCGTGACTCTGCAGTATAGCTTAAAGTTGGGTATTGTGATACCTCCAACTTTACTCTTTTTGTTCAGTTCTTACCTTTGCTATTCAAGATCATTTGTGCTTCCATATGAGTTTTCAATGTCTGTGATGAATGTCATTGGAATTTTGATGGGGATTGCATTGAACATGTAGATCACTTTTGCCAATATAACCATTTTCATAATATTAATTCTAAGGATCTACAAGCATGGAAGATCTTTTCATCTGATCTTGTTCAATTTCTTTCTTTATTGCTTTATAGTTTTCATTGGAGAGGTCTTTAACTTCCTTTGTTAAGTTTATTCCTAAGTATTTTATTTTTTGAGGCTATTGTAAATGGAATTGTTTTCCTAAGTTCCTTCTCAGTGTGTTTATTGTTGGTGTATAGAAAGGCTACTGAGTTTTGTATATTGATTTTGCACCTTGCTATGTTGCTGAAGGTGTTTATGATGTCTCAGAGTGTTTTGGTGAAGTTTTTGGGAATTCCTTTTCTGTCATTCATCCCTGGTGTTGGCTTCTGGATATTCTTTGACATGTTATGGGTACTTAATTCAGGAGCATGTTTACAACCTTATATTCCCACACCAATGCAGATTTACCCTGATTAAAATGTAAATTATTTAATAATTATTCATTATTAAGTAATGAATGATAAAAAATAATAAATATAACTTTTTTATACTGACTTAGCTTTTAAATTCAACTTTTAAGAATTTCAGTTTCTCAGTTACAGTAGCCACATTTTCATAGCTCAGTAACCTCATACTCAGGTCTCGTACTGACCAGCAAAGCTATAGGTAACTGTAAGATGTATAACAGCAGAATAATAAATAAGCAGCAGTATCTTAGGAAGATTTGTTGTGGGAATGCAGAATGAGTTGCAGGGTGTGATGGTTTGAGGAAGGAAAGAGAAGTTAGAACTGGAACGTGTTAAAAGTCATTACTAGACTAGTAACAGTTGGGGTATTGAGAAGATAGTACAAATCTGAGAGATCTTTCAAAGACATAATTGGTATGCCTTGATCACTGATTGACATAGAAGAAGAAAAAATAATGTGTGATAGCTGGTTTCCAAACATCCTTAAAGATCTTTGCCTTCTAGCATTCAAACCCTTCCACACTGCATTGGGGTTTGTGTGACTAATAGAATGAGCAGTAGTGAAGGTATGTCACTTCCAAGATGAGGTTATAAATGATACAATGGCTTCTGTCATGGAGGTTCTCTCTTTAGGCTTTCTTGCTCTGGAGAAAAGCAGCTGCATTTCTCCAGAAATGTGGCTAGGACTTGAAGCCTGCCAACAACCACAAGATTTTGGAAGAGCTTCCAACTGACACAGGTGCCCATTCAAATATCAGAAATTCCAGCCCTGAGACCCTGAGCCACAACCACCAGGCTAAGTCTTTCCCTGATTCTTGGATTATGAGAGATTAAAAAAGTGTTTGTTGCTTTAAGATGCTAAATTTGAGTGAGGGGTAATTCATAACAGCACTAGCTAATAGTAATATCAAACAATAGTAAAATATTACCCAATTTAAAAATGGGCAAGAAAATTGAATAGGTACTTTCCAAAAGAAGGTAATTATCATATAAAAAAGTATTCATTATTGAAAACCAAAAAAATGAAAAGTTAAACCATGAAATGACACTATACTCACACCAGCATGACTAAAATTTAAAAGACTGATGATACAAAATGTTGATGAGGATATGGAGCAACCAGAATTCTTTTAAAAAATATTTCAAATATAATTCAAATACCATACAATTCACCAATTTAAGGTATATGAAGTGTAATCAATCAGTCCCGCCCCTAGCACACTTTTTCAAATGGCTAAACATAAAGTTACTATATGAACTAACAATTCCACTTGGAGATATATGCCCAAGAAAAATGATGAGTCCACAAAAAATATTGTACATGAATGTTCACAGAAACACTATTCATAATAGGTAAAAAGTGGAAACAATCTAAATGACCATCAATTGATCGGCAGGTTTTAAAAAGTTACATATCCACACAAGTATTATTAAGCAAGAAAAAGAAATGACGTGTTGTGGGCTATAACATGCACGAACCTTGAAAACTCTGCTGAGTGAAAGAGGCTAACCATAAAAGGCCACATATTAAGAGTCCACTTTTATAAATGTGCAGATAGGCACATGTATAAGGGATAGAAAGTAAGTAGGGGTACCTGGGGTTGGAGAAGAGATGGGAAGATTGAAGGACAACTAAGGGGTATTGAGTTTCTTTGTGGAATAATGAAAATATTCTAAAATGGGTAATGATGCTAGAGGCAGGAATGATTACATGTTTACACACCTAATACCAAATGAAAATGTGGGATGCCTTGTTCAAAATTTATTAATAGCAGATCTTTAAACCAAGCACAGGGCCCCTCTCAGTATTGAGCCATGTGAGACACAGGTTGCCGGCCCTTGAAGCTCCGGGGACATGGATGACTTGAACCTCATGCTCTAACAGGAAAGTCCATGCTCTTTTTTAGTAAACCATGACCCATTCATCTTTGGTGAATGAGATATGATGATGTCAGATTGTGATTACATGTGCTTGGTTGAAGACTGGTGTGCAGGTTAGGACTTCTTTTGTTCAGTTCAGTTCATATTTGACCTAGATCAGAAAAATCCTTTTTGATCCAAGTTTTGATAATGTATCTCTTAAAATGCCAAGGAGCTAAGAATAACTTCTTCAGAGTTGGAGGGAGAAAGCTCACGCTTGTCTAGCATGTTGTGGGAGGCATTGGGTTCCATCTCCAGCACTGCAAATAAAAACCGTGAGACAACTGGGTGCATCTTGAAGCAACTCAACAGTAGATCCTAGTGGTTTAGTTAAATCTTGGTTTCATTTAAGAATAAGCTACTTTCTGAATGTAGTTATGCTTTTGCTGATGACAGTAATTTTTAGTTTAGCTAATGAAGACATAGCTATTTTCTCTTAATCAGATATTCTTGTTGGTCACTGAGGAAGAGTGGGGGATCCATAGCATCCCAAGAAAACTGGCATGTGAAAAGAGTTCAGCTCTATTGGGTTAGGAATGACTACATGGAAAGCTCCCTGTGTTCAAGTACACTTAATCTGTTTGCGTCTCAAAGAATATTGAATTTACATTTTTATTTAAAATTTTTTAATGTTCTAGAAGTCACATCAGTCTGCTGGTCAAATTAGGGTGCCAAGCCTGGACAACAGATTGGGATTTTCCCAGGACAGACTCTAGAGGGCAATCTCTTTTTACTGCTAACCCAACTTGGCTACCTTCTCCCTCCCTCCCTCCGCCGGACCTTGTTCCTCTCAGCCTCCGCCCTGGCCCCGCCCCTCCGCCCTGGCCCCGCCTCCTGCCCTTTACCCATTTTCCCCAGCTGTCGTTCTTGCCCCGCCTCTCAGCGCCGCGCAGCGGAAGAACCTGCGTTGGCCGCTCTGGCCCCTTGGAGGACTTGTCGGTGCTCCGCGGCTCCTCACTGACGGCGCTGGGCGGGTCTGACGTGAGAAGCGAATCCCGCGCGTGACTCCCGGCTGCTTTGATTGTGGAATGTTTTTGGCAATGGGGCGGCAGGATTTGTGCGGGCTCGCGTCGAGGTGAGTGAGCGAAGGAGCGAGCACAGCGGCCTAGGGACCGCTCGCGGGACGCTTGGCCTGGACTTTTTGAGGCGCCCTGGAGGCGCAGCTCTCAGGCCGGCCCCAGCCGGCCCCATGCCCCGCCGCTCTCCCACCAGCTCGGGTCGGGCTTTCCCTTAAAATAGCGCCTGGACAGCAACGCTTCATTTTTTGCCCTGTAGCTTGTTAGACACCCTTGACCCCGCACGACTTTCTTTCCAAAAACCCCTATTTCTTTCTGTTCTTAAAGGTGGGATGGAGTTTGGAGACCTGTATCAACTTAGAGCAGTTTGTGGTGTGGGGTGTTTTGTGCTGCGTACAAACACGAGACTTGCCAGTTGTTGCAGCTGTGCTCGTGGTGTGATTGTTTTGCTTTGTCAGATGACTCCAGCATTAACACAGGCGCGTGGGACTTACAGGGTAGGGCCGTGGACATTTAACGTGTGCGGACCTTAACCTTTTGAAAGAACTCTCACTGCAGCTTGAGCTCCACACCGGACATTTGGTAACAGTCATTTTAGGATGCTAAGCCAGGATGCTACCACACCAGCCTTCCTCACTTGAGGGGAACCCATCTGTATTTCCTTGGAATGTCTCTTTGATTTATGAATAGTTACTGTTGCAGAGGAAAATATCTAACATTGTATCCACTGGCCTGATTTTCAAATGTTTGTTATACGTTGAAGAATGACATTTATTGTTTTCTTAACGCTTTAAAATACCTTTAACCAGCTCAGGAGAAATTTGGTAAATACAAAGGATATCATTACAGATACTCGTTGCTGCTTTTTTGTTGTCAACAAATACCAAATCATTTGAGAGACAAATGAGAAAGACATGTTTGTTAACTTAGTTGGGAAAGACCATTTCCACAGTTGTCTTTATTTCACCCCACCTTTCAAGATGCAGACTGACTAGGGCAGGCCAGGACCAGTTTGGCGGGTTTTGATCAGAGTTACCTTTCCAGCTCCAGCCCTTGAGTGGGTATTACCCTACCAAAACAGAGAACTGAGGCCAGGGTCATCCAGTTTACAGTAGCTGAATTCACAAATGTATGTTTCAGAGAGGAAAAAGGCCTGTGTGCCATGGTTGACATTGTTGGGCAATTTCTCTTGAACTTCAGCTCTCTTTGCTTCTCTGGCACTGTTCTTACGTGCCTACCACTACGCTCTACTATTTATCCTGTCCCATTGCCAATTTCGCCCTCGGGTATTTTTTGTCCCCAAATGAATTCTCTGAAGATAACTCTCAAGTTTATGTGTCCAGTCTGATTTACCCTGAGCTCCAGTGCTGGTCACAGCCATCTGAATGTCTCAATTGAACTTCTAACGTAAGTGCAACCCTGTTATTACTCATCTCTTGGTACAATCATTCTTCTAGATCTCTAGAGTTACCTAAGTTCTCCCACACTCCCAAACCTCACCTCTACCAGCTGACTCAAATAAGTACACACTCTCAAATTTATCACTTGTTATTTTTGCAGATTGATGGACTTACCTTCTTCCTAACTTGAGTAGGTTCTGTACAAGACTGCTAGATTAACCTTACTAATTTTTACATCAGTGCCTGTCTTCTGCTCAGAAGCTCTCAGAGGTACCCTTTTGCTCATGGAATTAAATTTAAAAAAACAAACAGTCGTTTCAAGGATTTGGCTTCAGTTTACTTTATGAATACAATAGTACTTAGTCTGTTCTAGCTGCTGGGAGGCACTGTTCTAGGCATGTCTTTTATACTGTAGCCTCTGGACTAGGTGTTCTTACTGTTCCTTGCAAAGGCCATTGGCATCTGAAAGGAGAGCAGATAGGAAAAAAGGCGTAGACAAAAATGGTATTTACTTACTATGATAAATGTCTTAAAGAAAAAGTACAGATATGAAGTTAGAAGTCAAAGGGGTTGCTCTTTTGGATTGTTAATAATACTCTTTTCTTTTCTGCTGTGTTTAAGAGTTTTGGTTCTTGCTCTTTGACTGCCTCTGTTCTCTTTTACTTCTACTTTAGTTGTTTCTTAGTTGATCAGAGGCCTAATCTTTGATGCTGTTATGATTTTCTGTGTTAGGAGACCAAACCCAGCATCTAGATGCTGGCTAGATGACAGTAGTGGGGACATTTGGGGGACTGGTGAGCTGGGGAGAATGCTCTGTCTTAAGGGGCCAGCTTCTCAGTTCTGGACATTGTTGCCATTAGAGAATGTATATCCAAGGTTTTCATAGTTATCCTTTTTTATTTTATTAAGGAAAAGCTGGAAAACTGCATTTTTAGGTGAAATCTCTTGCCTTTTTTAAATGTGGCTTTAAAATACTGTGCTGATAAAAAACATATTTGCAGACCCAGGCAGTAACCTTCCTGCCACTAGTTGCAGCTTTGTGTTATTTTTGCAGATAACTGAGAGGTTGTTCTGCCTCTTTGATTGCTCATGCATGTGACTTCCTGATATGTCTTTAGTCCTAACTTTTCTTTTAGTCTCCAGACTCTTCTTCATTTGTGGTCAGATGTTTCTACTTTTGTCATTACAAACTCTACTTAAGAGTCAAATTCTGTTTCATTGTATTAATCAACTGGTTTCCAATCTTTCAGGACTTATAGTCTCTTGCTATCCTTTCTTGAAATCTTAGTCATTTGCCTGGCGTTTTTATTTCATAACTTAGTAAAAATGCAATACAAACAGCTGTTCTTCATCCACTCATGCTTGAGTAACTTTGTCTCCTGGACTTGACTTTTCTGTCCTATTGGTAACTTCACCTTCCTACTTCTGTTATAAAAATCTTTAAGCATTACTTTCATTATATCCTCTTCTTGCTTGAATAGTTTCATGTAGAGTTGTTTAATTTTGTAAGCTCATATTTGTTTTATTGGATAACTGGAAAAAGTTTGTAAATAATAAAGTTTTTATCTTTCTAAGAGAATTGTTTTTATATGTTGGTATGCATCACAGTCACCTGGAGAATTTGTTAAACAGATTTCTTCATCCCACTCCCTCCGTTCCTTTTCAGTAGGTCTGTGGTGGGGCAAACAATTTATGTATCTAACAATTTTCCGGGTTATGTTAGTGCTGGTCCAGTGACCACACTTTTAGAACAGCTGCTGCAAACCAAGTTGACATCACCAGAAGGAAATGACATGTCTGGTGACAAAGTGAATTTAGAAATAGGCAGTAATTGAGATGTGTATGCTCCCTTCCTGTCCACCAGATGGCAGTTTTGAGCTATTAGAAAGGAAAGGGAACACCATAAAATTAGAATTACTTGGGGACTGAATTTTCAAATACATATTTTTAGTTATAATTTTTTTGTCTCAAATATGCTAGGCAAGCACTGTACCACAGAACTACATCTAAGCACCAACATCAGACTTAAGTAAGAGTTGAACTTAAAGGGAAACAATGTGATTTATACAGAACCTGACAAGAAATTTTGTACTTAGTTTTTAAAATTTTTTGGTTTTTCCTTCCAGTAGTAATTGGTCCAGGGATTTTTTGGTCCTGTAAGTGCTGTGCACAATGTTTTCCAATTGTGTTTGTGTTTATGTTAACTTTCTCTGAGCGATACAAAATTCTGTCTCACAGAACTAGGACTTAAAGTTAGATCTGTGTTTCTCTGTTTCCTTTTTTGCCACAGACAGTGCTTAAACTGTTGCTTAAGATTTGCCAATCTGGCAAAACTTTGAGCTGACATTTGGGTACTGCCTCCTTAAGGAACTCAGAGTCTCTTTCTGGATCTAAAGAAATTAGTTTTTTTTTTTTTCCTTGCTGGGATTGAACCCAAGGCTTTGTGCATGCTTAGGCATTTGCAGCTTTTAAACATTCGGGTCTTAAAAGTTCCAAAAAGACATAAAATCAAGTTGAAAAACAATATGTTAGGAATGGTGTTAGGGTACATGTATTGATATTCACAAAAGTCTTTATGAAAACCCTATTTAGAAAATATTCCTAAATAAGCTAAAGTCTGTTGCTCCAGTTTAATTTTTTAGCAAGTATTGATTTTAATGACAACTTTTTTTATTCATTTGGATGGAGCTTCCAACAAAATCCCTATGTCCAAGTCCCATATCTTGTGAGTTAATTGATCTTTGGTATGACCTAAACTTTGGATTTTTTATTGGATCCCCAGGTGAGGCAAATTCAAAATATGCTCAGCCAGGTATGTAAAGTGTGACTGATTTAAACAAATAAGCAATTTCCCTCTTTGTTGTAGTTCTATTCAATTTGAGTGTAATATAAAAGGTAAGTAACTTATATTACAATTTTTTAAAAATAAATTCAGTCATCTAAGATGTGGTTACAAGTGGTAACAATGCTCATATGGCTTTTTTTTTTTTTAAGTCTCAGCTAGGCTATTGCCTTGAAAAAATAAAATAGCAATTTATTAGTTCCATCAAATAGTATAGTATCTGCAGATGTTCACAGGCCTTATCAGGCTGCTGTGGCTACTGATTCCTGCTTTCATTTCTCTCTATATATCATATTTAACTTGTTGAACAAGAACCATTCATCCCAGTACATTCTTTTTTTTTTTTTATTATTAGTGTATTGTAATTATACAAAGGAAGGGGTTTCATTGTGATATTTCTATATGTGCATGTAATATGCTTTGATCATAGTCACCAGAAATTACCTTCTTATCCCTCTTCCCCTTTTTAACTTTCTTACAAAATTTTGTATGCGTTTCAGTGTGACCTTTTCATACAAACATATAATGTGCTTCAATCATGTTCTCTACCCCCTTTTTTCCCCTTCCCACTTCTTTTGTTTATGTTCATATTGTTGTCATCCTCTTCTTCTTCCTCCTCCTGTTTAAATCTAGATTCTGCATATGAGAGAAAACATGTAATATTTGTCTTCGAGTCTGGTGTATTTTGCTGAACATGACCTGTAGTTCCATCCATTTTCCTGCAAATGACACAATTTCATTCTTATGACTGAATAATACTCTACTGTGTATATATACCACATTTTCTTTATTCATTTGTCTGTTGATGGTCACCTAGGTGGATTCTGTAACTTGACTATTGTGAATAGTTCTGCGGTAAACATGGCTTTGCACATATCACTATTATATGCTGTCTTTTCATTGTACTCCAGTATATTCTAACTACAGTATTTCTCAAGCATAAGAACTATGTCTTTTGGCAAACTTTTTAAAAAGGACTAAAGCATAAAGATGTAATTTGGTGATTTTTCACAAACCAAACATGCCTAAATCACTGGCACCTGGCACAAGAAACGAGCTAGCACCAGCATTCTAGAAGCCTCCTTAGTGCTGCTTTTTGCTTTCTTATTTAATAATAATTTACATAAGGTACTTAAATGTACTGTTCTGAAGTTTATAGCATGGTGTGCAAGTGCTTGCAGTCCTGGAACCATCATCTTGGCTGCAGAGAGTTTATAACACTCATGTTTCTTCATGCCCCTTCCCAGCTTTTCCACCCTCCATCATTTTGACATCTATTATTATTGGTCATTTATGCAAAGCTGTGAATTATCCTTTTATTTCTCACCTAACACTTTTAAAACAGTAAAACTAGAAGTGTATTGTGTTCATTGCTTTGTAATTTGTGGGGTTTTTTGCAATTTGTGTCATAACTATTTTTCCGTGTCCTAAGTATTTCAGTATTTTTAGTGGCGGCATAATAGTTGAGTATAGATGACACAATTTAAAAACATTATTTGATATTTATTTCTAGTTTTTCTTCTTGTAGATAATCGTTGTGAACATCTTTATAAAACTTTGCAAATACTTGTGGAATTACTAGATGGAAGAGGAAGTTTTTTGTTTTTATTTTACTATTTTGTGATGGGGTCTTGCTATGCTGTCTAGGCTGCCCTCAAATTCCTGGGCTCAAGTGATCCTCTTGCCTTAGGCTCCTGAGTAGCTGAGACTACAGGTACATGCCCTCCCCCTTCTCCCCCAGATAATCTTTCTAAAGATTGTGGATCTGTATCTCCATACTGCTTACAAGAAGGGCAGTTCCAGTTTATACATCTCTTAGCAGTTTCTGAGAGTGCCTATTTTAGTGCATCCTCACCAACTTTTTTTATACTAACAGACTTTATTTTTAGAGCATTTTTAGATATATAGAAAAATGGAGCTGAAAATTTGAGCAGAACAATTTGACAAATGTATAATGCCATGTACTGTGGCATGCAGATTAGTGTCACCTTCCTATACATCTTCTGTCTCCATCTATTCATCTCTCCTCCAGAGCTTTGGCAACCATGGATCTTTTTATTGACTCTGGAATTTTGTCATTTTTAAATATCATACACTTGAAATCATGCAGTATGTAGTCTTTTCACATTGACTTCTTTCACTTAATAGTATACATTTTTCATTTCCTCCATTGTGTGTGTGTGATGATAGCTGATTTCTTTTTATGGGTAATTCTCCATTGATGGATATGCTAGAGTTTTGTCCTTTATCCATTGAAGGACATCTTGGCTACTTATGTGTTTTGGCAATTATAAATGAGCTAACATAAAATTCATCCATTTCTTGTGGATGTTAAGTTTTCAACTCATTTGGTAAAACTCAAGGAGTAGGATTACTGGATCATATGGTAAGGGTATATTTAGTTTTGTAAGAAACTGCCAAACTCTTTCAAAATGGCTGTCTCATTTCATTCCTGTACCTATCAGCAATGAATGAGAGTTGTCTTTTTGCTTTTTTAAGTTTTTGTCCTAATATCTTTTAGAAGAGGCTTAAGCAAAAGGTGTTAATAGTATTTGTAAGTTGAGACATGGTTGTCCATGTCACTGTGCTCATTGTATTCTGTATTTTTTCAGGTTTAGTTTATTCAAAAGAACCAGTATAATTCTGCAACATCTGGTAAGTTTGGACTTCGTTTTGATGGTCTTATTAGTTTATGATGTTTAATTTTAAATGTCATTATTAGGGAAGTAGAGAAATACTGGGATGCAGATTACCTTGACCTTGGTACACTATTATTTTCAATTTCATAGTGTTAAGACTTGCTACCTCCTACGAGGCTTGTGTGTCATAAGTCTGTGGTAAACAGCTTGGGTAAGTCTGAATGCCTGAGTTTAAATAATACGTCCACAGCTTAATCTTAGGCAGATAGTTGGTCTCTTGTAGCCTCCCTTTTGATATCTATAAAATGAGGATAGTGTCTACCTTACAGTGCTTATAAATGATAAATAAGATAAGCATAGTACCTGCTATGTAAATAAACATTTTATGTTAGCAATTATTGTACTTTGAAAGGCTTAACTATCCTTAGTTTATCAGAGTCTAAGGAAAATAATTTGTATTTACTTTTGTATCTCTTAGAGAGCCTGACAAGTATCTCATACATAAAAATAACAAGTCGTCTGCTACAGCACTAACTATGCCAGCTACTATTCTGAGTACTTGATATATATCAGCCCAGTTAATTCTCATAGTCCTCTGGGGTACAGACTGCAGATCTTTTATCCTCAGCTCTAAGTTCTCTAAACTACAAGTTCTTGTTACGAGGTTTATGGTAAATGAACCTAACAGCAAAATCTGACTTATTGTACTTATAGCTGTTTTTTCTTTGACTTAACTAGTGTGAATCTTCATGGTTTGGTGCAAAAATGCAAAAGCAGTTGATTATATTATATTGACCCAGGCTTCACCTGGGGCGGTTTATGTAATAGGTGATAGGAACTGTGTTACTTGTCTAAGTTAAATGATGTGGCATCCCTGTTCTGTGGATCAGAAACCAAACAACAGAGAAGCCTGTGTCTCACAGCTAATAGATAATGCAAGGCGTGAGTTGAAACCAGGCAGTCTGCCTTCATTGACCACCTACTGCACTGTACAGCCTCTGATAAGAGTGGACATCAAGGAACTGTCTCGAAGTGTTCCTCAGTTATGTTCCAGTGAGATGAGGATGTACAGTCTGCAATATCCCTTCCTCCCTTATTCATTTTAGTCAACTGGGGAGTTTCCTAGTGAAATAACTTAGAACAGTGTCAGTTCCAGTGATATACATAGGAAGATGCAAAGAAAGGACAGACCAGATCACTTGGGGCCTATGGTGATATGGGGCATAAACCATTTTGAAGGAAGATAAACTGAACTCTTCTCAAGGCCTGAGGACTGAATGGTTCTAGGTCCCAATATTTGCTTTGACTTATGCTTCTGTGATAGAAAGGATGTATCCCAGGAAGGCTTACATCGTAAGAGCCATAGAGTCATGCTTTCTTTTTATTTCATAGGTCATGCTATCTTTTTATTTCATAGCATAGTGATGGAGCTATGACATTGATGGCAGTATTAAAAGCAGGGTTTTAAGATGGGACTCATTTGTGATAATGGTGTCATTCTGGGTAACCCTTCCAAGATATAGAGTGGGGAATAGAACCCAGAAATAAGGCCAAGGTAGTGAATTTCTGCAGATGGGACTTGAGAAGCTAATGAAAACTGGTGGAGCCTATTAATAAGGCCTCATTTATATCTTTGGGTTGATTTGTATATATTCTTACTACAAAAATATTCACGGAAAGATTTTTTTCTTCTTTCTCTATAATGTATTTTAATATAATGTGGGAAAGCTCATTTTTCAAGATAGGTCTTGCTAACTTTGCCCAGGCTGGCCTCAAACTCTCAATCCTTCCACATCTGCCTTCCAGGTAGTTGGGATTGCAAGCAGGAGTCACCACCATATCTGGCTTAGATTCTGTAATATTTTTTGCTCAAGGTCTGACCTCTGTAAATGCCCTGCAAGCATGGTTAAGTGTGTCAAGATCTATGCTTAAAGATACTATTGCAGTGTTGTAATAGCAAAGACTGGAAATTACCCAATGCCTGTCTGTAGACATTGATATGCAATAATATATTGCAAAGCTGATAAAATTAAGTATAACTGGGAAGTTGTGAAATCATTGGTTAAATGGTCTGGTTTCTTCCAACAAATTATAAGAGAAAGAAAGGAATAGATTAGAAGACTTTAAAGGTATATTAAAAATTTTAAAATGAATGAACTCTATGGATGGACAGTAGGTGTTTATTTTAAAAACTAAAAGAGTTGTACTTTTCCAGGGATGAAGACAGCTGTGACTGGAATAGTTTGAGTTAGGTAGGTAGAGGACTTTTGGGCTGCCTGGACAAAATTGACTCTATGATTTGATTTTACTCTACTTGTAGGTATCAAAATATCTGGACTGCTATAACAAATAACAAAGTCTGGGTGACTTAAAAACACATTTCTCACAATTCTGTAGGCTAGGGAGTCCAAAATCAAGGCACTGAAAGATTCAGTGTCTGGTTAGGGCCTGCTTCATTGTTCATTAGACAGATATGTTGGCAGTCTCCTGGCTGTTCCCTCACATGGTTGAAGAGGTGGGGGACTTTCCCTCAGTTTCTTCTATAAGGGCACTAGTCCCATTCATAAGGACTATGCTCATAACCTAATCACCCCTCAAAAATTCCACCTTCTAATACCTTGAGTATTAGGCCAGCATATGCAGTGGGTGCATTATAGGGTAGCAATACTGAATTTAGGGAAACTTCTGGTTTGCAGAAAGCTCTAAACAAGTCTGCCCTTTGTCTGGGAGGAAGAAATCACCTTCTTCAAGGATGCTCACAGCAAATATAGTCCTGATAAATAACCTAGGCAATGAGTGTTCATGCCCTTCTTGTTCATGGCATAATCAAAGGTGCATGGAAATTCCAGTGCCCATGGCAGATTGCTTTTCTCAACTAAGTGCTAACTCCTGGCCTAGTATTAACCAGCATTTTTGCCTTATAATATTTCAACATTCTACATTATATTTTGGGTGGTTTTCTCTGTGTTTGTATTTCATTTTACAGTAGAAACATAAAAAAAATATAAAAAGACAGCTTTACCTGTAGTAGTGACATGGGAATATGAGTGCTAAATTAGCAATGGGAGATACAAAATAACCTGTATCAGCATTCTATTTTTGTTGATAGTTTTATGGGAAAATGTCAAAGAATAGTAAAGAATCACTAAATTAGTGATGGTCCCACCCCAAGTAACTTTCATTGTAAACATTTTGCCAGTGATTACCACCTTGCATTTTTCTTTTAAAATATAGTTCAACAGGACGTGGGAAATATCTTTATTCTCCTTATTGTGAAAATGTTACCTTTTGTTACCACTTTATATAAATAGGCACCAGTGGCTACTCAGGAGGCAGAGATCAGGAGGATCAAGGTTCTAAGCCAGCCCAGACAAATAGTTCACTAGACCCTATCTCAAAAATACCCATCACAAAAAGGGCTGGCAGAGTGGCTCAAGGTGAAGGCCCTGAGTTCAAGCACTAGTACCACCAAAAAAAAGAAAAAAAAAAGTCTTTATTTTACAGTAATTTGAGATCCACACAAAAGTTATAACAATAGTATATACAGTTCTTGTATTCCTTACCCACTTTCAATTTCCCCTAATTGTATCCCACATTACTGTTCTGTATGGAGTTATGTCCCCTTCTCTTTAGTCCCTTATGTTGAAATCCTAGTCCTGAATGTGGCCTTATCTGGAAACAGTGTTGTTGAAGATGCAGTTAGTTAAGGTCACAATGGAGTAGGGTAGGCCTTTATTTTTTAACTTAACATATTTAATTGGTATAGTAATTATACATATTTATACATTATGGCATATCAATATATGAATATTATCTGTAATGATCAGGTCAGGGTAATTGGTTAGACATATTATTTATTTTGGGAACATTCAAAATGCTTTCTGTTAGCTGTTTTGAAATGTTCAACTAATTGTTGCCAGCCAGTTATCCTACTTCACTATAGAGCATTCAAGGTTATTCCTCTTGTCCAAATGCACCCCTCATTTACTAATGTTTTTAAAGGCTCTCTAGCATGTGAATACCATAATCTGTTTAACTAGGTTTTTACTAATAGACATTTGGTCATTTGCACTCTCTCTCTCTCCCTCCAACTCCTCTCACTCCCTTTCTTTCTCTCTCTTTTCCTTTCTCTCTCTCTCTCTCTCTCCCCGCCCCAAACCCACCCCAGGATCTAACCCAGGTCCTCACATGCATTCTAAGCATATGCTGTACCACTGAGCCACACCTCTGCCTCATTTCTGGATTCTTACAAATGATATTGCTCTGACTAATGTTGTACTTGTTTCATTTGGCCCATAGGTAAGTGTAATCTGTGGGGTAAAATTCTGAAACAGCCGTTAGCGCGTCAGTGTGTGTTCTTTAAAAACAGGACTGGTGGCATATGTCTACAGTCCCAGCTCCTTAGGAGGCTGAGGTGGGAGGATCACTTCAGTCCACAGATTGTAGACAAACCTGGACAGCATAGTGAGACCCTGTCTCAAAAAAAAAAAAAAAAAAGTGTTGTCAGACTATTTCTCCTAGGCTCTGTGATTATGCTTCCACAGTCTGCTTACTCACACACAGGACATTATAGGCTATCCAAACTTTTTGACCTTTGTCAATTTGCTTAAAAAGTAGTTACTACAGTTAGAATCTTGTTAATTGGAATTTCTCTGGTGAGAAACTGAAATTAAATTTTAAAATGCAACTTTTTCTGTTTGATAGCCTTTCCTATAGCTATAGCTCTTCTAAGTGAATATAAATTATTTTTATTTTGTTTGGTAATGAATATTAATAAAAATTAATATCATTAAATATATAACATGATTTTATAAAGGAGAACTTAAACATTGTTTAATGCTATCAAAATGTGGACTTTGGATTTTATTAGATTTTAGTTACAAATGTGTTGTTTAGTTTTAATTGGCATACCCTAGTTAAAATTTTTATTTTTTTTTTTCATTTCTATGGGTTGAACTCATGGCCTTTCATATGCTAGGTAAGCACTCTCACTAAAGCAAAAAAAAATTCTATTTAAACTGACTTCCAATGTGAGGTTTAAAGTATTGTCCTTAGTAAAGGAAGATGTTAAAATTGGTGGTACATGAATCTGATAGCGTGTCACAGATAGAATCTGAAAAATGGCTGTATAAGTTAAACTCTGTTCATTATAGGTGTTCTATTAATACTGTATATCACATGAACTGTGAGACTTAGTGATTAAGTTATTGTCTGAGGCCCTGAGTCAGAACACAAGCAGCTTTTTTCCATCTTTACATGTAAGTCTGAACTTATTTTATAATCTATCCTCAAACTGCTTGTTCTGTCTAGCCTCCCATCAGTCATTTCCTCAACCAGCCTTTATTCCACTCATGTTTATCACCTTAATGTTTACAAATACTCATTGCTTATGGCTTAGTATGTTCTTAGAATTCTCTCTACAATTCTTACCACCCTTTAAAAAAATATACATCAAAGCTCAGTCCAGATATCCCCCCCTTTTTTTTAACTTGCCCATAGCTATTGTAGTCAGAATTACTTGCCTGCTTTTAATCATCTTTGCTTTCTAAGCACCTAACATAGAGCTCAAAATGCAGTAAAAAAATTAAAACATTTAAGAGTGTTTTATAGTTTAGAGAATTCTGGGAGTAAGCTATATTCTAAATCAGTTGATTAAGTCCACTCAGAACAAAAAAATAAAAAATTTGGAGGATGTGTAGTTTGCTTTGCAATATGTCTGTCTACAGAGTTTAAGAAACCTTTGTCAGATATTCATAGTTATCTGTTCCTTTAATTATTAACTTGAAAGATTTGTATTTTATGTGTGTTTTTCTGTGGCCTTATGATAAAAACTATATGAATTTTGACATAAAGTTATTCTGTGTTTACTCAGAGAATGTCTAAGCACACAGAAGCGGCAGGAGAAGTGTTGTTGGAAAGAAAAGGTTGTGCAGGAGTGATAACACTGAACAGACCGAAGTTACTCAATGCACTGACCCAGAATATGATTCGACAGATTTATCCCCAGCTGAAGGTCTGTAATTTTCTGAAAACATTTATATGGATTCTTTGTAAAGTAAGTTATAGTAGAAGATTTATGGTATTTTATCTGATGAAAACATAGGACTCTCTTGAATCTACATCTAGGCCCAATTGATTGAGTCCTCAGTACTTTCCTGTGTGATTATCCTTGAGTGCTCTTGCTAATAGAAAGATTGTTGCCTTATGAGACAGCCCCTTCTTCTTTTACATAACTCTTATTTTTCACAAGTTTCTTTTTTGTGTTCTGCCACTGCTTGTTTCTCTGGCATTTTGAACATTGATTCTGGCCCTGCTTCTGAGAATATGAGCGAACAGGTCTAATCTGCTTGTACATGACAGCCTTTTGGTTTGAAGACAGTTGTTTTTAAACTGTGTGGCTCTTGATTCTTTCATACTATTATTTATATATTCATTTGTTCATTCATTTATTTAGTGGTGCTGGGGATCAAACTCAGGACCTCATACATGTTGAACAATCATGCATGATTGAGCCATATCACCAGCCCTTTTGGTTGTGAGATAGGGTATCGCTAACTTTGACTGGGCTAGCCTCAAACTCTGAATTCTCTAGCCTCTGGCCTACTGAGTAGCTGGGTTTACAGGTGTGCATCACTGTCTCTGGCTTCTGCTGGCTTTTGATTCATTCATCCTTTTTTTTTTTTTTGGTGGTGCTGAGGATCAAATCCATTGCCTCATGCATGCTGGGCAAGTGCTCAACCACTGAGTTGCACCCCAAACCCCCATCCTACCTCTTTATTAGCAGTCCTTATCAACTCCAGTTGCATATTTGATCAGTATTGGAAGTGGTTTCACTCTGTTCCTTATACATCTTTTCAGTAGAACAGAGCCCTGTATTACTGTGGTTATTGCTCTGTATAACCTTTGTGTTACCAGATTTATAAATTTATGTGAACTGTCATTAAGTATATAGTTATTCATCTTGGTCTCAAGGTTTTGGCAGATACCTGAAATACCCTTATGAAATTTGGATCATAAAATGGTACTCATGGAGCACCCTTGATGGAATAGACTCTTACTTTATCTCAGAGAAGAAAATGAAGTTCATTCCACAATGAATAGTATGAATGGGATCCATTCTTCTGGATATTTTATAAAGGGACGTGTATATATACACACATCTATATGAATGTGTATGTGTACATGTGATATGGATATATCATTATAAGTTTTTATTTATAATGTGCTTATACCATCTTATTTTGCCTTTGAATAGAAGTGGGAACAAGATCCTCACACGTTCCTGATCATTATAAAGGGAGCTGGAGAAAAGGCTTTCTGTGCTGGTGGTGATATAAAAGGTAAAGACTGCTTCCCTGCCCCCAGGTAAATGAGTTTCCCTGACTAGAACTGACAGAGTATTGGCAAATTTTGGGGTAAGGGGTGTTGGTAGGGCTCAAGTGGTAGAGTGCTTGCTTAGCAAGCCTGAAACCCTGAGTTCAAACCCCAGTGCCACCAAAAAAAAGAAAAGAAAAATTGGGGGAGGGGATTTATAATTTGCTTTGCATTTTAGACTCTTTTGTTATAGGTTAATAATTAAAATGTTAGAAAAAATTGGAGACTTATCTTTTGTAGGTTATGTTAGAAAGTGAGGGAAATAGGATTTTTAAAATTTTATTTACTCTTCTGAAATTTAGATACTTTGTTTCCTGCTATGAATCTTCTTAAAATATCTAATTATGGTATGTGGCTCCAGTTTGTATTATAGAGTGGATGATATTAAGCAGTTCTGTTAGTCACACAGTGTGTTGAGTGACTTGCCAGTCCTCTAGTGTGACATGCATGCATGTCTTTCCAAAACTGTTCGTGTGCTTTCCTACTGCTCAGGATCCAAAGCATCTTTTGTGTGCGTGGTTTGAGTGGCTGCCCTATTGAATATACATTTTTCATGTGATTAAACATATAGAGATAAATTTAAGAAAAATCACTTTCTAATTGTTCAGGTCACTCTGTACATATTGAACTATAAAAGAGAAGAAATATTTGTTCTCAGGATCAAAGTTACGTAGTTAGTTAATATTACCAGAATATTCAAGATGATCATAGGCACTCCAAAAAATTTTCAAAGGTGATTTGTGAGCATCATTTAACTTTAATTTATAGGAAGCTAATTAATTAGAATCAAACAAGATTAGAATAAGATTAGAAGGAAATCTGAGAAGGTTTTAGTGTAAGACCTTCTTTCCAAAAGCAATACAGCTTACATTCATTTTCTTTTGGATTGGCACACATAAGGACAGCAGATAGGGAGCTTTTTCATTTATTCATTTATTTAATCAGTGAGATCTCAGAATGGCAAAATTAGATATGAGCTCTTTCTGTTAAAAACCAGGAAAAGAAGTCAATGTATGAAACATGGTGAAGGAAGATATGGTTGGCTTTTATATCTGCAGATTTTGCATCCATGGATTCAATTAATGGCAGATTGAGAATACTTTGGGAAAAAATTGCATCTGTACTGAACAGGTACAGACTTTTGTCCTTCTCATTTTTCCCTAGGCAGCCCAGTGTAGCAACTATTTACATTATATTAGGTATTGTAGGTCATCTAGGGATGACAAAGTACATGGGAGAATGTGCATAGGCTGTGTGCAAATACTGAGCCATTTCACATAAGACACTGAGGGCAGGGTCCTGGAACCAATCCTCCATAGATACCAAGGGACAACTAGCCTTAAAATTTAATCGGCAGTTCTTAGATAATCTTTTCCATAAAAATGGAGACCTGTACATTTAATTTGTAGTATAGCAGACAATTCTTGTAGGACATAAAGATAGGAAAGGCATGTGAGCTTGCAGTATATGGAGAAGGAAAGTTTGATAGCAGTCTTGATTGAATGGAATGAGTACAGTAGGGATGTGGAGTCTGGATGATGGAAGACTTCACTAGAATGAGGCCATTAGATAGTACCCATCAGGTGGCAGTGTGCTGTAGCACTGCCTTTGAGAAGTTCTCTCTCCATTGACATTATTAATAGACAAGGATGTTACTATCTTTATTTTCTTGTTGGCCCCTCTCGCCTCACCTTTTACCATTTCCTTTTAGTCTTTTAAAACTACTCGATTCTTTTTTTTCCCCTGTACTAGAGATTAAACCCAAGGCCTCATGCTTGCTAGGCAAGTGCTCTACCACTTGATCATGCCTCCAGCAATGCCTGCCCTCCCCTCCCCCATTTTTAATTTGTTTTTGAGATAAGGTCTCATTTTTACCCAGGCTAAGCTTCAAAGTTGTGATGCTCCTGTCTTTGCCTCCTGAGTAGCTGGATTATAGGGATGTACCACCATGTCCATCTTAAAACTTCTTGATTTTACTCTTTTCTTTCTTGCTTTTGTGTGTTTGTAGGTACTGCTTCCTCTATCTGGAACTTTTCCCTCCTATTATTTTCTGGGAAATTCTTACATATTTTTTCAAATTCCTACCTATTTTGGCTCAGTCTTGACCTCTTCTGGAAAGTCCTCCTGTAATCACATCTTCCTGCTCACCATATATTTATTTATGCTATCTATAACATATATAGCACAAAAAGTGTACTTCTGTAGTCTTTTTCATTAGTCTGAACTCAAGGACAGCTGTCTTCCATTGTTGTCTTATCTGTAGCACCTAAAATAGTGTTTGGTCTGTAAGAGATGCTCAATAGATGGCTTATGCTTAAATTAATGTGGATCATTCACGTATGTATGTCTAACATACTTTATTTTAGGAATTGGTGTCAAAGGAAAGGTGTGTATTACAAATGTGTATTTAGGTGCTGGAAGGTGTAGTGTGTACCAATGAATAACTTCTAATTTAACAACTTTGTAAGAAGGATAATAGGAATGTAGTAAGTCTCTATAGTGAAGGAAAAATGAACTCAAGCTCAGTTTCTCTTACTGTAGTGTCACAACACAGATCACTTGTGATGCCAAATGTGTGGGGTTTTCCTACATACTAAGCAAGTACTCAGTTCTGTTTGGATGGCAGTTGGTTGTCCTCTGAGTCAATTCAGTTCTGATACTATCTACCTGGAGGTAGCGTCCAGATCCCACAGATTGAGGACTAAGGTTCCAAGACTGCCCAACCCTTCCATGTTAGATTCCAATTGCAAGCCCCAGGTTTGTGTACCTGTGCTCAGTGGGCATAAATGGGGCTCCCATCACTCCGTGCTTTCAGTTAATGTTTTGAGTAACTCCACCGTTTTGTGTGTTTGAGTAGCTCACAGAACTCAGGGAAACACACGTGCTGGTTTATTACAAGGATATCATAAAGGATACAAGGCAGAGGGCAAAGTATTGGGAAAAGCTTCCATGCCCTCCTTGGCTGCACCACCCTTCAGCAACTTCTGAAGCTCTCCAAACTTTGTTCTTTGGATTTTTCTGGAGACTTCATTTTATGAATACAAGTGAAATATGGACATCCTTGCAGAAATGTATTGAACAAAAATGGTACGATCTACTGCTAATACACTGAGTAGGGAAACCCACTGCCTATTCAAATTTTCCTTGCCTCTCTGTGCAGCATACCTTCCTCCCAGGTCCTGGGCAGGACTTCTCAACTGGGGGTTCTTATGATCTTCTGTTGGACAGGGAGGTGGGGCAGAGAATGTCTTCATGACCAGTTCCAAGACAGATGGGCAGGAAAAAGTAAAGTGTGTGACCTACTTTGGGGAAGAGAAGTTTCTATGGCTTGTCTTAGAGAATGGTTAAAAGAGCCAGAAACTGTGGATGAAAATAAAAATATATATATATCATAGTATCACAGTAAGTAGAATAAAACTTTTTGCCTTGAAGATTTGACATTGTCTGTGAATCTCTAAGTGTAATATGTCTGTGGCACCAGTAACTTTAAAACATTTACAAGCCATTCTGTAGTCCCTCTCCCTCCAGTACTCAGTTATCACCATTTTTTTAAACATATTTGACTATATTGACTAGAAACACTGTTCCCTTCATTCTTTTCTTTCTTCCATAGTAATCTCTGAAGCTTCAAAGGCAAAACAGAGGCTGGCTCAAGATTTCTTCAGAGAAGAATATATACTGAACAATGCCATTGGTATGTGTACTCTGCTAAGTTTTGAAAATGAAATCAAGAAATGGGATAGACAGTTTGGTTTGTTAGATGTTACCAATAGGCACTCTTTTTATTTTTTTACTCTTGCTAGGCAGGCACTTCTACTGTTTGAGTCACACCTACAGGCCTTTTTGCTCTGGTTTCCTTGGAGATAGGGTCTTGCTTTTTTGCCCAGGCCTGCCTAAACTTTGATCCTCCTGTTTTATGCTTTCTGCCATCACTGGGGTGACAGGCATGAACCACTGCACCCAGCTATTGGTTGAGATGGTGTCTCGTGAACTTTTTACCTAGACTGGCCTCAAATCAGTCTTAGCCTACTAAGTGGTAGGATTCCAGTTGTGAGCCACCATGCCTGACTCCAATATGTGCTGTTATTGAAACTTTTATAATCTATGTGTTTGGGCATAAATAAAGTTGATTAAACTATTCTGACTGCTTCTTCTAGAACAGTTGCATGTTAAGTATTTTCAGGCTGTGCCAAACTGCTAATTGTCATAAAATCAATATGAAAATATGGGTTCCTGATTGATCATGTAACTAGCTTCCTTGGAAAACAAAAAACTTGGGTCCCAGATTTCTGTAAAAAATGGAAGTATCAGGTCCTAATTTTTTAAAATTTTAATTAATTTGTTTGTTTGGTTGGTTTTGGCAGTATTAGGGTTTGAATCTAGCATCACATGCTTGCTAGGCTGGTGCTCTACCACTTGAGCCACTTTGACAGCCCTGTTTCCTAGTTCTTAAGGAACTTTGGAATGAAAATTTCTTCATAGTTAAGGTTTTAGGTCTCAGTGGAAACCAAACAGTACTTTTACTAAACACGTGTTTTCAAAAGTTAAATTACAGACAGTTACATAATATTTTTGTACCCACCAGTGCAGACATAACAGAAAACAGACAATATTTTGTTTTTGCTTGATGTTGTAAAGTTTATTTAAGAGAAATGCAGTACTATAAAATTTAAAGTTACAGTTTGTCCCATTTTGTGATTTTTTTCCTTTCTCTTACCAGAAGCCACCATTATCTATCCTCAAAAGCTGTCATTGTTATTAATTTGTAATATAACCTCTAAAAGTATTTTGTATCTTTTACTACATATGTATGAACTATTACTTTATGTTCTGAAATTTACATAAATACTATCTTACTATATACAGCTATACACCAACTTAGGATGATTCAATTTAATTCTTAAACTTTATAATGGTGTAAAAGCAATATGCATTTTGTAGAAACTACTTCACATTTTGAGTGTGGAACTTTTCTTGGGCTAGTGATAATGCATTATGATGCTCTTTCATGATGCTGCATCACAGCAGCAAGCTGTAGCTTCCTGTCAGCCATCAGATCACAAGGGTCAACAACGATGCCACACAATGTAATGTATTAAGTTGGGCATTGGGTAGATGTATTAAATTCAGTTTTGAAATATTTTCACCTTACAGTGGTTTTATTCAGACAAATTCCCATTGTAAGTTGAGGAGCATCTATATAGCATTCCATAAATTGTTTTTAAAAACAGAGTGTAACTGTTCTATAGCGTCCAAAAGTATGAATATACCCCATAATTAACTATTCTACATTTGTGAATATTTTAGGTTATTTTCAGTTTTTACAAATATAGATGGTTACACCCTTATATATTCCTTTTACTATCCATATGTTTCTCTAGAAAATAATACGTGGAATGGATGAATCATAGCATTTATAGATCCTTCATTTTGTTTCCAAATTCTCCCTCAAAGCATAAGACTTTTCTTTTTCTATGCATCTTTTGTCATAGCTACTATTGGATTTTTTGATCTTACATTTGAATTTAAGAATTGTTTTGTCTGGTTCCACAAAAGATTCTGTAGAGGCCTGGGGTGTAGCTCAGAAGCCCTAGCACTGGGGAACAGCAGCAGGGACTGATATCAATCTCTTGGAGATTTTTTATTGGAATGACAGTGAATTATGCATTAATTTGGGAAGACTGACATCTTTGGTACTGAATCTTTAAAAAAAAATTTATGGATTTATAATTTATAAGAATTCACCCATTTCAAGTTGCAGTCCAATAATTTTTAGCAAATTACCAAGTTGTGCAAGTGTCATCACAAATCAGTCTTAGAACATTTTCTTCCAGTTGGCTTTTTTATGTCCTTCCATAATTCCTTTAAATTTTCCCCATAAATGTATTGCTTTAACATTTTTTCCTTTTAAAAGATTTACTCTTAGGTAGCTTGTGGTTATTATTACTGCATTTAATGGTTATTTTCCTAATATGTTTTTTGAGTGGTATTTCTGTCAGATCTTTTTATATTCAACAATGCTGCTGAATTCTCTGGTTAATTCTGATGGTATTTCTGTAGATTTCCTTCACTTTTCTGCATAAGCAATTCTCTCTGCACATAAGTTTTTCACGTCTTTCTAATCCTTGTGTTAGACTTTTCCTGTTAATAGTTTAGCTAGAACCTCTGTTTAATGTTGAATAGTTATAGTGTTTTTTTGTTCTGGGTATCAGTGAGAAAGCTTTTTAAATTGTCACATGTGGGTGTAAGTCTCCTTATACCAAGTTAAGGACATTACTTAACAATATTTCATACTTGTTAAGGGTGTTTTATTTGTTCAGCCCTGATGGTGGTAATTATATTTAGAGCTTGAGCATTTACTTTCTTAGCCTTTTTCTCTCCTGGAGAAGGCTTGCATCCTTACTGAGTTCCAGGATCAGTAGATGGAGTTCTAGCCTTGTTTATAAATGAAATAGCATCTTTTAACTTGGAGCTTTATGCATGTAGCAGATTGTACAGCTCATAATCTTTGGCTGTAGCTTACACTTAGCTTTTAACTTTGAGTTTCTTATGTGTTTCTGGCACCTGAGAATTTCCCAGGTTGACTTTGAATTTGGGTGTAAATTGAGAATTTCTTTGTTCTATAAATTCTGTGGTTTTGACATAGGAAAAGGGGACTGTTTTCTACTTAGCTCAAATTGAATGGACAGCTATCTGCTGTTTTAAACTAAAAAATTCCACATATAAAATTTTCTTTTACAGTTATTTTATTTACCTAAATATTTGCATATGAATACTGTCCAATAGGACTTTCAGCAATGATGAAAACATTCTGTTATGTATGCCATCCAGTGCAGGGGTGGTTCAACATATGAAAATCAATAAACGTAATAAACCACATTAACAGAAGCAAAGACAAAAACCACTTGATCATCTCAATAGATGCAGAAAAAGCCTTTGATAAGATCCAACATCATTTCATGATAAAAGCTCTAAGAAAACTAGGAATAGAAGGAAAGTTCCTCAACATTATAAAAGCTATATATGACAAACCTACAGCCAGCATTATACTTAACGGAGAAAAATTAAAACCATTCCCTCTAAAATCAGGAACCAGACAAGGATGCCCACTATCTCCACTCCTATTCAACATAGTACTGCAATTCCTAGCCAGAGCAATTAGGCAAGAAGAAGGAATAAAAGGAATACAAATAGGTAAAGAAACTGTCAAAATATCCCTATTTGCAGACGACATGATCCTATACCTTAAAGACCCAAAAAACTCTACTCAGAAGCTTCTAGACATCATCAATAGCTATAGCAAGGTAGCAGGATATAAAATCAACATAGAAAAATCATTAGCATTTCTATACACTAACAATGAGCAAACGGAAAAAGAATGTATGAAAACAATTCCATTTACAATAGCCTCAAAAAAAATCAAATACCTAGGTGTAAACCTAACAAAAGATGTGAAAGACCTCTACAAGGAAAACTATACACTTCTGAAGAAAGAGATTGAGGAAGACTATAGAAAGTGGAGAGATCTCCCATGCTCATGGATTGGTAGAATCAACATAGTAAAAATGTCTATACTCCCAAAAGTAATCTACATGTTTAATGCAATTCCCATCAAAATTCCAATGACATTCATCAAAGAGATTGAAAAATCTGTTAAATTTATATGGAAACACAAGAGGCCACGAATAGCCAAGGCAATACTCAGTCAAAAGAACAATGCAGGAGGTATCACAATACCTGACTTCAAACTATATTACAAAGCAATAATAATAAAAACAGCATGGTACTGGCACAAAAACAGACATGAAGACCAGTGGAACAGAATAGAGGATCCAGATATGAAGCCACACAACTATAAGCAACTTATCTTTGACAAAGGAGCTAAAAATATACAATGGAGAAATAGCAGCCTCTTCAACAAAAACTGCTGGGAAAACTGGTTAGCAGTCTGCAAAAAACTGAAACTAGATCCATGTATATCACCCTATACCAAGATTAACTCAAAATGGATCAAGGATCTTAATATCAGACCCCAAACTCTTAAGTTGATACAAGAAAGAGTAGGAAATACTCTGGAGTTAGTAGGTATAGGTAAGAACTTTCTCAATGAAACCCCAGCAGCACAGCAACTAAGAGATAGCATAGATAAATGGGACCTCATAAAACTAAAAAGCTTCTGTTCATCAAAAGAAATGGTCTCTAAACTGAAGAGAACACCCACAGAGTGGGAGAAAATATTTGCCAACTATACATCAGACAAAGGACTGATAACCAGAATATACAGGGAACTTAAAAAACTAAATTCTCCCAAAACTAATGAACCAATAAAGAAATGGGCAAGTGAACTAAACAGAACTTTCTCAAAAGAAGAAATTCAAATGGCCAGAAAACACATGAAAAAATGCTCACCATCTCTAGCAATAAAGGAAATGCAAATTAAAACCACACTAAGATTCCACCTCACCCCTGTTAGAATAGCCATCATCAGCAACACCACCAACAACAGGTGTTGGCGAGGATGCGGGGAAAAAGGAACCCTCTTACACTGTTGGTGGGAATGTAGACTAGTACAACCACTCTGGAAAAAAATTTGGAGGCTACTTAAAAAGCTGGACATCGATCTACCATTTGATCCAGCAATACCACTCTTGGGGATATACCCAAAAGACTGTTACTCCAGAGGCACCTGCACATCCATGTTTATTGCGGCACTATTCACAATAGCCAAGTTATGGAAACAGCCAAGATGCCCCAGCACTGACGAATGGATTAAGAAAATGTGGTATCTATACACAATGGAATTTTATGCAGCCATGAAGAAGAACGAAATGTTATCATTCGCTGGTAAATGGATGGAATTGGAGAACATCATTCTGAGTGAGGTTAGCCTGGCTCAAAAGACCAAAAATCGTATGTTCTCCCTCATATGTGGACATTAGATCAAGGGCAAACACAACAAGGGGATTGGACTATGAGCACATGATAAAAGCGAGAGCACACAAGGAAGGGGTGAGGATAGGTAAGACACCTAAAAAACTAGCTAGCATTTGTTGCCCTTAATGCAGAGAAACTAAAGCAGATACCTTAAAGCAACTGAGGCCAATAGGAAAAGGGGACCAGGAACTAGAGAAAAGGTTAGATTAAAAAGAATTAACCTAGAAGGTAACACCCACGCACAGGAAATCAATGTGAGTCAATGCCCTGTATAGCTATCCTTATCTCAACCAGCAAAACCCCTTGTTCCTTCCTATTATTGCTTATACTCTCTCTACAACAAAATTAGAGATAAGGGCAAAATAGTTTCTGCTGGGTATTGAGTGGGGGAGCGGGAGGGGGTGGAGTGGGTGGTAAGGGAGGGGGTGGGGGCAGGGGGGAGAAATAAACCAAGCCTTGTATGCACATATGAATAATAAAAGAAAAATGAAAAAAAAAAAATTCTGTATCTAGATGCCCACCAGTCACTAAAGAATAGAAGAGAAGCAATAAAAGATGCTTTCGTGTCCCATTCATCACCATGTCATCCTCAGATGCAGACATTGTTTAGCACTGCTGCAGAGCCAAAATTTGGTGCAAATTAACATATACTTCCTGATCTGAGATCATTTCCCTTCCATCACTTGAAAATAAATCAGCCTTTTTTTCCTCTTATTTTTCTAAGGAAAAAAAAAAAAAAAAAGAATTTGGCAAAGTGTTAATATACAGAGAGAAGCCTTCAGGATATGATTTCAATACATTTTAATGACATGTAGTCAATAAGAAATTTGGTAGATTCTATATTCATGTCCTGCATTAATTAGTGCTTGATATTTTTTATCTAAAATATGTATCTTTAGCTGAAGTGCAATCTGTGTGTACATATATGTTTCCATTCTGATCAATAATTTCTTTCCGTAGAAAGGTCTAGGGAACTGTAGGTCAAAAGTGAGGGCAATGGATGTGTCTGTAAACGTGAACTTTGAGTTGTATTTTGGTGACTTCTTGGGTAACTGGGAATACTTTGAGAATTCCTAGATGGATCAAAACTCTGCAGTTTATATTGACCTTCAGTAAGGAAGTAATATTGGCAATAAGCTATAATAGAAGCTCAGTTATTTATCTTTTTGTTATGTTCTGTGCAACTCTTTCTCTGAGAGGTAAAATAGTAAAAGTTTTTATGATAGTTTTCAAGCTGGAACTTTCAAGTTGAGGACATACATTTAAGTCTTATTGTGCAGATGATGAAACATTATCTGATATGCATAGATATCATATATAACCAATATGTTTATCATTTAATACCTGATTGAATTGTCAAATAATAAAGCTGGAACTAGAATTTGGATCTTATAACTCCCAGTCCATGTTTTTTTTTTTTTTTGTATGTTGTACTTCTCTATATCCAGATACTTTACTTGTATAGGAGCAAATATGTTCTTTAAAATACAACTGTATACATTTGTAGCTTAAAAGACAGATATTAATTATACTTCTCAATAGTTGAGTAATGCAAGACATTTGTTTCAAATTGAGATGTTAAGTTATAACAAATAGTTAATCAGGAGTGTGTAAGTATTGGCATTTAAAAGTTACATATTTGATAAGCCATATAGTAGTTTTCTTTGATATTTCTTGCAAAAAATTTCTAGGAAAAATAGTCCATATAATGTGATTTTTGGAAAAAATGAATATTTTTTAAACATTGCAACTAAAGCTATACCTCTATTTCTTTTAGGTTCTTGCCAAAAACCTTATGTTGCACTTATTGATGGAATCACAATGGGTGGGGTACGTTCACTCTTTGCTATTTTCATTGATATGAGTGAGTTGTATTAAAGATAATTGTTAAACAGAAGTGAAGTGATGAATGTAATACAATAGAACTCATTGAAACAAAATCATGTGTGGATTGGATTTCAGATGCTGGCAGATTTGGGATATAATACTTGATTATAGCACTTTTAGACTGTCTCAACACAAAAAAATATTGTATGTTCTTAATTATATTATATTCTATTTTAACTTTTTGAATTGCAAGCTTTCTTAAGCAACTGAAACTGATTGCATGTTTTGTGTATGTACAACCTTTTTATCTTTTTCAGCACTGCTAGGGATTGAACTTGGGGCCTTGTACATGCTAAGCAAGTGCTCCACCAGTAAGCTACATCTGTAGCCTTTGGTTTTTTTGAGTCAGGGTCTCCCTATGTAGCTCAGGCTGTCTTAAACTCATGATCCTCCTACCTCAGCCTTGTAAGTGCTGGGATTGCACAGTGTGCCACCTCACCTTGCTTGGTGTTTGCAGTCTTTATAAAGTTCTTGAAAACAGTATTCTATAAATTGACAAATATTTACTTTACCTTTGCATTATTATAAAGGAGTCTAAAACATTCCTGGCTTTGAGTAACAATATGGAATAGGAGAAAACATGAAATTATTACAGAACAAGTAGTAAATTGTGTGGTCCTGATTATAACAAAGATAAGCCTTTAAAAGAAGTGCAGGGTCAGACTGTATCTTCATGGCAGAAAAGGGATTGCATGGAGAAGATGGTGAATTGAACTGATCCTTGAAAGAAAGTGTTGGGGAGAAAAAGTAGCATCTCCTGACTCATTACAAGAAACACAGGTGACACCTCTACAGCAAAAGATGATCAACAAGGGAGAAGCATAAAAAAGCTGCTATACACAACACAGGAACAAACCTTCTGAAACAAAGACCTGCAGACCCAGGTTTTATGTTCAGATTCAATGCAGAATGGATGGTTGGGTAAAAGTATGCTTGGATAAAAGGGGTAGGACCCAATGGTAATAAATGAGGAAACTTAGCAAGGCCTGTTTGCACAGATTTTTCTTGGCTACTGTGTACTATTCCTTTTCTCTGGATATAAGGCAGGGCAGCTTTCACATGAGGATATAATAAAGTGCTTCAGGAGATGTAGGGCAGAGAATTGCTTTAGTACTAGCTCTCTTACAAAAAGGGGGGAGGGAGGAAGTCAGAGAGTGACCTCTAAAATATGGCCCCTGGGTGTTCATGCTCTGAACCCCAACAATAGATAGGACTTAGGTATATAAGTAGTAGGAGGCCAAAGGGTGAAATTTCAAAAATTCTGTCCATTCAATATTTGAGAGATTCAGTTACTTGGAAAATAAGAAGTCCCTCCTCTATTCTCATAGAATCATCTTAAATGAAGCCTCTTGGGTACCAGGACTTGCTTAGCTCTTGCACATCATTTGGAAAGGGATTCCACTAGCAGCTGTGCAGTTAGAAAGCACCCTCCAGAGCAGTTTGTTCCTCTCTTCTGGTTGGCAGATACTGGGCATGATTTGGTTGTTTTGTCTTTGTCGATGAAATGCTAACCTGAGGAACATAAAAGTTCTGGAGTGCCAGGCATGATGGCTCATACCTGTAATCCCAGCACCCCGGAGGAGGAGACAGGAAGATGGTGAATTGTAGGCCAGCCTGGGCTGCACAGTGAGACCTTCTCTTAGGGAAAAAACAAAACAACAATAACAAAAACACTGTATGGGAAGAAGGGGAAAGGAAATAATGTGAAGCATTGAGGTAAAGCAAAGAGAACCAGGGAAAAAAGAAAATAAAGCAATGGATGTGTCTAATATCATGTAAGAAAATGTGATGCAAAAAGAAAAAAGCGCTGTACGGTCAGATGAAAGGTTGAAAGGGGAAAAGGTAACATAAGGAAGGATGCATAGGAACTAAAATAGCAGAACTGACATTCCACTTTGAAAGTAGTAGATTAGAAAGAATTGGCTTGATATTACAAAGATTGAAGTTGTATCTGTGAAGGTCAACTTTGAGAAGCTCTCACAAAGCATTCAAAAACACTTAAAGGGTATAAATGATGAGAGTGGGACTGGGAGTTGTGGCTTAACAGTAGAATGTGTGCTTTGCATGCTTGAGGTCCTGGATTCAGTCTCCAGCACCAAACAAGCAATCCACTGTATGTGATGACTTAGCTTCTGTCCTATCTCTGGCTTATTCTTCTAGAATGCTACTGGTTATGTACAATCTGTAGGAGAACTGAGAAAATGGCCACACCATTTGCAGTGATCCGTAGAACCCCTGAGTAAGAATTTCATTTTTTGAGACAGGGTCTCACTTTTTTGCTCCAGACTGTCCTTATTCAAACTAAGAATCCTTTGCCTTATCCTCCCAAGTGTTGAAATTATAGATGTATACCACCATGCCCGGCATCTAATATTACATTTTATCAGTTCCCCTTTAAAATTAAAAATAGACTGTCATTTCTTCTAATAAGGTCTGCCCACCAACACACATCCAATTCCCTCTTTTAACAGTTATAAAAATTAGATGCAGTTTCTTCTGCATCTAATTCAGAGTTCAATCTGAACTCTGAATTTGGCATTTGTATTTTATTGTTACTTCAGAATATATCCTATCTCCCAAGTATATTAGATCCTCTGTAAAGGCAAAGACTATAATGCCTTTTCCCCAAAACTTCCCATAACAAATAGAAATCCACAGTGTGTGTATAAAAAATACATTGTTTATTGAAACAGACACTAATAATGAACATCGTGTATAGTCTTTGAAATTGTAAAATTAATAGATTGGCACGAACTGACTCTTTTTTGTAGTATGGTTCTTTATGTGTCTTGGTTTTGAAAGTTAATTTGCCTATCTTATTTATACTTTCCTTAATGTAAGTCTCTTCAAGAACTTTAGCTTTTAAAGCCATAGTTCTGTAGATCAGTGGCTTTCAATCTTGACTGAACTGCAAAATCATTTGAGAAGCTTTTAAAAATCTCAGTGCTCAGGCTTTCCTCATCTCCCATAACCATTAAGTCAGACATTGGCATTTGAGTTATGCATTTTTAAAGCTTCCTAGTGACATCAGAGTGCAAGTCAGATAATTGTTGATCTCTGTGTAGTGCCTTAGCTAGTGTGTGGTTCAGTGTCACCTGTGGACTTCTCTCTAAATCCCCCAAAGCCAATGGTTCTCATACTCCTGTTTGAATAAGAATCACTTGGAGGACTTGCTAAAGTGTAGGTTCCTCTTCCCACCCCTTTTCCAGTTCAGTCAGTCTGGAGTGTGACCCAAGAATTTGCATTTTGAACAAGTTAGTTTTTAGATGTTGTTGTTGATGCCAGAGGGAGGGCTTACTTTCCAAGATATTTCCTTAAGATGTGGAGAACACAATTTATTACTCAAAGCTTTTATTTTCATAATTTTAAATAGAATTTTAGTGTTTTATAGTTTCATATAAATACATTTTTTAAAATTGTTGTGCTGGGTGGGGGAACATTGTGGCATTTACAAAAGTTCTTACAATATATCGTACTTGAATTCATCCCCTTCACCATTCTCCTTCATCCCCCCTCCCCCCATTCCTGGAATAGTTTCAACAGGTATCAATTTTCCATTTATATACATGTGTACACTGTGTTTGCAACATATTCACCCTCCTTCACCATTATTTTTATAGACTGAACACAGAAGCAAAGTAAAATTTCGTTATTTGAGCATGGTCTTATCAGTTGGCTACTTGTGATTGGCTGTTTATTACAAAACTATACTCCTAAATTAGATATGGATTGAAGTGCTAAGGTTGGGTTTTGTTAGTTTGTTACATAGGAACTCAAGGTACAGAGTCAATCTTAGGCCAGTGACCTACTTATTTAATTTAACCAACTACAGAACCGAGAATAAGATGAGACAAATAAGCTTAAGAAAAAGTATGAATAATAATTGTCTCTGTCTTTGTTTTGATTCTGGTCAGTACATTTTTTCTTATAGGAATTTTGTTAAGAATTTGAATAGTCCAAAAAATAATACTATAGAGCTTGGTTCCTTTCCCTCCCCCTTTTTTTTTCTATGGAAAGTATATTCTTGTTTTTCCAGCATGGAGAAGTTTTACTATCACAGTATCTGCCATGGGGAGTAAAACAGGACTTTGTAGAGGAGATGGCTAAATTCTACTAGGTTTCAGATTTATGAAATTTAAAGTTACTCAGTATTTTGATAGATAATAAAATAAAAATGTTACTGAGTGATTCTACACATAGTTGATCAAAATTGTGTAAAATTATTGACCTCCAGTGTTTCTGAAAAGAAATAATTGTTTATAAAGAGATGCTTGAAATACTTCAAGAGATACTTGAAATACTTTTTTTTGAATAACAAAAATTTTTAATTTGTTTTTCCCTTTAAACACATTTCTGAATCACATTTTCTAAATCACATTTTCTGAAGCTAATATATAACAGGAAGGCAAGTTTGTTTAAAAATTAAAATTTAAGCAGCTATAGAAAAGAGGAAAATTCTTTAAATTTTATTAAACCATTGCAGTCCTACTCCTATTTCTCTTCCCAACCAAACTGGATTTAAAGAAGAGTTGTTTCTTTCTTCCCTCTCTCCCCTTCTTTCATCCTTCTTGCAGTATAAACAGTATTGCCCCCCCCATGCCAACTCAAATTATGGATGATATTGTTTTTGTATTTCTCAAAGCGTCTTTAGGATCCTGCTAGCAGGATTTGTAGAAGACCAGTGTGCCAACCCAAATGGACCACTTTATCATAAGGATTGTTCTGAGATACAGCAGGCATGGGAAAAGCTGTGAATATAGTGCAAGGTATCCCTTTTCAAGGAAAATTACATCAGAGCGAAAAATCTCCATTTATAAGGGTATCTCTCTCTGCACTAGGAAGAATGAGATGACTGAATCATCAGATTCCATACCAGTGGAGAAGGTACCAACTTTAACTATAAGACAGGCTGGGCACTGGACTACTGCCTGTAGTCCTGGCTG